TGTTACCACGGAAAACGTCATGTAATTGCCAGCGTTCAGATGGGCTCTCTCAGCACTATTTTTTAGAAACTGCATGTGAAACCTAAAATCATTCAAAAAGAGTGTAATTTAAATAAAGCAGTCAGTGGGAACCCGATGGATCAGCTAAAGGTAACCACTAAGCTGAGGACCACTAATGGGCAAAGCAGTCCAGTGTCACCAGGTGGCTGCCAGTAGATGCTGCAAGGACACAAATGAACCAACATAAGCAAAAGGAGCTGTGTGGCAGAAACAGACGGCAAGGTCAAGAGCTTGTCCTTGTTGCTGCTGGTCGCCTTCAGTGACGTCTGTGAGAAAGACAAGTGTGCAGAAGGGAGCTCCCCAGTTCCCGAGCAGACACTGAAGGTGCAGCGTCCAGGTTCTTCAGACTTTGGGCCCCGAAGAGCAATAGAAACCATAGAAACTGCTGTGATAACCCGGGGACCTCCGCCCTCACAGCTCTGCGGCAGAACTGCTGTCCTCTCACCCTGGGAACGTCCTCCAGGGACAGCAGAGGAGAGCCACTCCTGCCGCAGTGGGAATCGAATCTCACCTGCTTATCACTTCATGCACCAAAGGACACGGGCTCGACAAACTGTCCAGCTAACACGGCGGATGCGGGAAAAGCGAGCATGTGACTTGAGAAGAATGAGACTGAGGCCATAGAGATGCGCAACGGATCTGAAAACTGAGTCCCGAACAGGGTCCCTGGGTGGTTTCTGGCTCATGCTGCGATTGGATCGTCAGACAAAAGCCCTGATATGTTCCGGAAACTCAGTCTGATCAGAACAAAACGAATAGCAACCCACAAGCCTTCCCAGAGTCTGTGCGAGGGCCTCCTCCGCCGAGGACTGGGAGCTGCATGCCTGTGGGGACAACAGGTGTCCTGTGTCTCACTTGGACCTGGCCCAAGGGGAAGATGGAGACAGGGAGAGGGTGGAACCTGGCAGAGCCTGAAGCTAGAGGCCACAGAAAACAATGCAACAGGTCAATTCCTCCCCAAAAGTGGAACCCTCTAGAACAAGGGCCACCTGCAGAGCCTTGGCTAAGTGGCCTTCGGCTGGCTGTCCGGGGAGCCTCTGGAACATCACAGGTGTTGTGACATCACAGTGTACCATTCTTTCCTTCTCTGACACTCCTCTGTGGCGCAGGGAGCAGACAAGACACCTCCCGCATCAGGGCCGCGGAGGGGAAGCCACTCAGCCCTAGGGTGGCCTCGCTGAGCCGAGTCGGAGGTGGCGGCTAGATGGGGTCTCTGGATTCTCCTCCACGCAGTAGAGGAGCGTGTTCGTGGGGAACATTTGCTGTACTGGGGGCTGAAGGACAAGGGGGACTTCCAGCACCCTCCATGCCTGGTTCTCCTCCTCAGTCCACAGGCACGAGTGGACTGTTCTTCACTGTTCTGCTTCAGTCAGGTGAGGCCACATGCTCAGTTCTGGACAATGGGCTGAGGGCAAGTGACGTGTATCACTTGCCAGTCAAGTGTCCCCTTCCCTAGCTGTGCTCTTGGGGAAATGGTCTTGGGTTAAGATTGTAGCAAGCAGAAGGCTCCTGAGCTGTGTGAGGAAACCGACCTGGAGAGCTGCCCTGCATGACAAGTGGGGACTCTGATGTTGGGTGCCAGATGTTGAGATTTGGGTGCTTCTTTGAGCCTTCACAATTATCATCATGGCTAATGCAGTCCCCGAGCCCAAGCAGTAGCCCAGGATTGGACCAACACGCTGTGAGTTGGCAGGAGAGCCGAGGGTGCCACGATGCTCAGTCCTTGGGCCAGGAGAGGCCCACAGACTCCTCCTGCTCTCCTAGACAACCACCTTGACACAGGAAAGCCACCTCCCAGAGCAACAGTGGGCTTCCCTGACCACAATCTATCACCCTCATCCACTGCTCTCCTTTATAAAACATCCAGTGGCACACAGACCATGGCCTCCTCTGGCTCTGGCCCCAGACACTGCCACTTGGGAATCAGAGGTTCCCAAGACTGTGGGCTGCATCAGCTGCATCCTGACTGGCCTCCACCCACCCTGACTCCTGGACAAGAGCTGTGCGAGTGGGCTGCTGTGCCTGGTTCCTTAATGGGGTCATGAGAAGGAAATGAGTTTACACCTAAGAAAATGTGTGCTACGCCGTGGGCACCTCGCTCGTCTACGTCTTTCTTTTAAAGGCTCGGGAGTGCAGTGTTTCAGGGAGGATGGCCAAGGGATGGCTGGAGCCTGGAGTCTGCAGGACTGGCAAGGCGGTGATTACTGCCATGTGGCCTTGGAGCCCTGCCTGGCCCCGGTGACAAGATCATAAAAGCTGACCTCCTGGCTCCTGCTTGGATGAGCTGATGGTCACAGTGCACATAACAGTGCCAATGAAAGCCTGGCGGGGCCAGCTCTCCAGCCTGCCTTCCTTGCCTGTGGGGCATCCTCAGGGCAGCCTGGTCCCCTGCCAGGGCTCATCCACACGTCTTTCAGACCACATCTCAAGCACCAGCCTCAGAGTGCGTCAGGCCTGGTGTCGGCCAGGCCCTGGGCAGCTCCAACCCAATGAAGGCCTTCTGCGGAGTTCCAGCGAGGCCCGGAGCTGCGCGGGCAAATTATCTCAAAGACTGCTCATGGCTTTTGAGAGCTTGCAAGGTTGAGTGATGAACAGGCACGACTAAGGAAAGTCCAACTGCAGTCCTGGTAAGGGACATGGGAGAACCAAAGCAAACCAGAAAACCAGCAGGCAGTCTCGGCTTCAGGGGGGACGCTGAGTGCGTCTCCTAATTAACCCTCCTTACCAGTCACCACCACCAGCTTTCAGAAAACACTCCTAAAATGACCCTGACGTCTAGCGTGCCTGAGGATGGCCTGGAGGGCCTGCTGGCCCCAGTCTCTGCGCCTGGCAGGTCTGGGAGGAGCACAAGTGCTGTGGTGACACTGCTGTTGGCGCTGAGGTCCAGAGCCATCGCGGTCCCAGCTGTCAGCATTTCCTCAGCCCAGTGCTGTGACTGAGGACGCGTGGGAGCCTCTGCTCTGCCTCATGGGCAAGGAGCGGAATGAGAAAGCCACCCTGTGGTCCCAAACATGAGGCTCCAGGCTGAGGGGCGGGCACAGGGGTGGGATGGTACGGGGAGCACGCCCAGGACAGTGGCCTCCAGGAGCAGTGTAGATGCTGACAAGAACTCAGCTCCCCACGCAGCTGACTCCGCCCTCCCTGATGAGCTCCCACCCCACCTGAGGAAGAGGTGGCCTGGGCCCGGATGCTACACTCTGTTATCTTTTAAGCTTTCTCTGTGCTGCCCGGGGCTCCGCAGAAGCCAGTGGGTTTCCACCCACAGGGAGAGAAGCCTAACTGGCTTGAGTCGGTGATGACCGCTCATTTCTTGTTTAGGGATTGGGACAGCAAGGACATTTAAGGGGCAAAATATTTTTGGCAGCCTAGCCTGCCTCGAGGAGGCATCATTCTATTTATCTCTGACCACATGATGGCTCAGGTTCTGCACGACTAACCCAACACCCGAAGCATGAGGGCCCACAGACCTGGCTGGCGACCAGTTGCAGGAGGCAGAGGCTGGCTTTCTTGTCCCTTCCCTTTCTGGGGCTGTCTTGACCAGCCTTGACACTGCCGACTTGAGTATGTATGTCCAGGAAAAATGGGCACCTTTTCTGCTTTTGATTTGGCTCAGCTAAGAGCCCAGGACGCCTGACTTCAGTCTTCCGTCCCAACAGATGTGGCAGGTTGTCTATGGTTACTTCCTTAATCTGATAACATTCTGCCACATTTTTTTTCCAAAGGGAATAAACAGCCTAGGCGACTCCTGGTGCATATGACACAGTGATTAAACAACAACAAATAGGTAGCTGGCAATATCCTTCAACGTTCTGTGAAAACGAGGGCACTTCTCACCCCCTGGCCTAGCCTTCCTTGGTAAAGGAAAACGCAGAGCAAGAGACCTAAGACACACCAAGAATGCCCGAGACATACAAAATGCCAGCTGAGCAGCAGAGGCGGGCCAACAGAAGCTTCTCTGTGCTCCCTGGCTTGCTGAGCTCAGCGTGGGACAGGCAGGATGCCGGAGGCCCATCTCAGAGCTGCTGTGCAGACATCTCCCTCATGGGGAAGCCTCATGGACCCACAAACTGGCTATTCCACGTTTACCGATCAGGACAACAGAGGGGACCGAGGACCCCTTCTCTGGGCATCAGGGCTGTTGATTCAACTTTGACTGTTGAATCCTGTGACTGAAAAGGCCAGTGACCTGCTTGCGTGGGAAACGGAATGGCACACACTGGGAGCGGGAAACAGACTGTACTTCAAAAGTTACCACCTGCCCTGCCATGGGGGTGCTTGCTTAAAAAGGGGGGAAGTTGCCGTGAGATACCTGGCTGCACTCCTGGCAGGACAGTCCTGAGTTAGGGGCACTTATGGTAAAGGTGAAAGTGGAATATTCATTTTAACATAGAACCAACTGAATTGGCTAAAACTTATCAGTGAGGGCTGGGGTGCGGCTCCGTGGCCGAGCGTGCCCTTGGCATGCTCAGGGGCTGGTCTGATCGCAGTGTGTGCCTGCACAAGGTTAGCAACATCTAGCAACAGACTCAACCAAGAACCAAGGACTCTTTGAAGAAATCTTTGATTCCAGCTAAGATTTGCTACAGTGTGTCCCAAACCCTGAAGCATCAGTGTCACCTGGGAGGCTGCGAGAAGCACAGACTTGGGTTCCTGTCCAGAATTTCTGAAACATAACAAGCATGTTCCCAAGATACCCAAGTGACACTTCTGCACACCTGAGCCCAAGAATCCCTGCCATAATGTACTGCCCTCAGCTAATGACCAGGGTCAGCAATGGTCCAGGGAGGACACTACCTGCCCTGACCTACTGGACGTCCCAACCTCACTGCCAGAGCTGCTCCAAGGTACAGCCACTGAGCCTCTGCTGCCTTAAAGCCTCAGTCACGCACAGAGGCGGCCCTCCACAGACTGGCGTCCATCACTCAGTTGAGGCTACAGACCAGAGTATCAAATGATTTTATTACAAAACTTAACGCCATTTACTGATAATTTACTTTTCTAAAAAACAAACGCATCCAAGGCTCACCAGCCTTGGAGGACAGGAAGCAGCCCTGCACAGGAAACCTGCAAACATTTTTCTTATGCCTGATGTCTCGGCCTTCTTGTTCACTCTAAGTTTCCACCTTCTGTTACCTCTGACACGGGGAGGAAACTGGCTAGAAGAGTCACAGACAAGAAGGTCACAACCAACTTTAAGGCTATCTGATGCTAAGGGCTTGTACACATAGTCTGGAACTTTGAGAAAGGTATTGGACGAGCGCTGTCAGATGCCTAAGCCCCACTAAGCTTTACAGTCCCTATTCTCTGAATTACCTCTGGGACTGGTTAGGGTCTTCCGTGGTAGCCTCTAGTCATCCCAGAGCACAAACCCTAAAGTCCATGTGCAGTCTCCTTGTTCAAGTATAAAGCTGTCTGGGAACCATCCCAGCGGCTGTAGTGTTCATACTCTGTAGTGTGTACTGGGTGCCACACCCCTGGACAAACAGGCCAGTGGCAGCCCAAGGAAGGGGCACCCACAGACAGAGTTCCCACTGCCAAGCTTGCTCCTGTCCTATCTGGACACTGCCCCACAGTCAGGGTAGAAATCTTGAGTTCAGAAGCCCCCAGCCGGATGAAGTCATGCTCTCTCGGAACAGGGATCCATTTCTTCACCATTAATTAAATGGAGTTTTCAAAAGGTGCCAGGAATATTCTAGAAGGAAAAGATAATATCAAAATTCTACCCTTTGATAAGAGAATATATTCACTTAATTTTGTGTTTCTAAAGGAATTTACAATTGAACTTGAAAGACTTAAAATGAATGCTTTACACTTGGTGAAGTACAGAGACAGTGCCACCCGGGGGATGTCCTGCTGGCCGGCCCTTCACTCAGGCATCATTTGGTCACCGTGATCTAATGGCCCCAGTCAGTGTGCCCACTTACCTGACCTATTAATAACAACAGACACCTTCAAGAATCTTGGCAAGAGAACACCAATGGCAGAATGAGAAGATATACCCTAAAAGTCCACTGTTCATATTTACTAATGTCTCTCCAAACCTGCAAAAACATCCATTTGTGCATCTCCAGCGGATTTTTGAAATGAAGTGTAATTCCAGACTTAATATGAGAGGGACAGGACTTAATACACGTAACTATGGTGGAGGTACTGTGGACTCGGGGAACTAGTGTCCAGGAGGCTGGTCTAAGCAACCTCAGCAGACCCTTGCCCGACTCTCCCTGCGCACACCAACCATCCCAGCCCATTTCTAAAGAAGTGTCCATTTGTAGCTTAAACGCTTAGCTCTGGTAGCACAGAAAATCACATACCTGTCGACACAGGAAGGTGCTACCAACCAGTCTGCATTGAAAGATGACCCCTTGCAGGAGGTGAGGCCCACCCGCAAGAGCCCTCTTCTGAGTACACCTGGAGTCTGATCCCATCACAGCCTGTCCCTTTTCTATACCTACAAGCTGGGGGTGCCTGCTCCTGGGCTTCATGGCATACGGACCTTAGGAAGTGTCCTGGGACGGGGCAGGCAGGTCCTGGCTCTCTGGGTCAGGAGGAGGTGCTGGCACAGCTTCTTTTTTCTGGGCCGCCAGGAATTCATGAATCGCTCGTTCAATCTGTGGCCTGAAGATGTGGTTGAGTTTTGGATCCACCACCTGAGAAATAATCCTGTCTACTCCTGCTTCCAGCATTCCTGACCTTATGGAGACAAAACAGAGCACTCTGTTATTTAGTTCCTTTGAGTCACCTTTAGGCCCAGCAAGCCCCAAGTGTCACCTGAGAGCCTAGTAAAGGTCGACCTGAGTCTTTCCGGAGATTTCTCTCACAGGGCGAGCCATCCACCCTATGCCAATTTTGGGGCACAGACATCCACTTTTGAGGGGCAATTCACTACCAGCAGCTCCCTAACATTCCTGGTTCACAGTTTCACCCACAACTACTTCACCCTGCACAGAGGAACCAAGCAGAACCAACCAGACTGCCCAAAGAGCAAGTGACAACAGGGAGGAGAGAACTGGACTTATGCAGGTTGAAATCCTGAATCGTAGCCAGGCACGATGGCACACAATTTTAACCCACCTAGGTGGCTGAGGTGGGAGGACCCAAGTTCAAGGTCAGCCTGGGCAATCTAGTCAGACCCTGTCTCAAAGAGCTGGGATGGGGCTCAGAGGTGGAGCACTTACGTGGCATACGTGAGGCCATGGGTTCAATCCTCAGAATCACAAAACAGAAGAAAGAAAGAAAGAAACCTTAACTGAACTGTCAGAGCCAGCTGGCCTCGGAGTTGACTGCACTTCCTCCAAACTTGCTCTCTTAACAGCCAAAGCAGAGGCAGCCCCTGCAGCAATGCTGCACGCGACCTCAAAGCTAAGCCACACTAACCAGTTGGGACCACAGTGTCTATGACACCAGCAACTGCCCACAGCCTTCTGCCAGGCTGCTAGGTCCAGGCAGCAACAAGCAATGGGAGGCAAGCGGCCTTCCGCTCCTGTGGGCCCCCCTTCAGGAGTACTTCGACACTTAGGCAGAGCCCACCACACTGTCCTCAGAGGCCGAGGCTGGAGCAGGGAAGTGAGGAAGACTGCGGTGACGGAAGCAAGCTGCTTCTGAGGAGTGCAAGCAGTCCCCAAGGCCCTCAACCTAGGCCCCTTCCCAGAGGATGAAGCACTCACCCCTGTAAAGGCAGGTGGCAGGGCTTACTCATCTCCTTTAGATGGGTCTTGGGCATTTGAGCTTTCCCTTGGGTGGACACAATTCCACAGTTATTGGGCAAACAGATGGCCGGACACAGAGCGAGACAAATCAAGGTGTGACAAGAGCCGGAAGCCAGGCCCCAAGCGAGGAGGACTGCTCATGAAGGGCTTCCCAGACTCCACGGTGACAATGCTTACTGACAGAAGCCTGTTAAGGTCTGTAAACAACTCAAGATGGCGCCTGGCTTATGACAGCCTATTATGGACCAAATGTCTGTGCCCCAAAATTGGCATGTTGAGACCTCAGCCCCAATGTCACAGTATTCAGAGTTGGGGCCTTTGGACGGTGATCAGATCATGAAGGGGAGCCCTCATGAATGGGATCCGTGCTCTCAGGAAAGGGACCCCAGAAGGCCAGCCAGCCCTCTCTGCGCCATGAGAGGACATACTGATATGCTGGCAGCCTGAAGCCAGAGGACATTCCTCAGCAGAACCCAGCCATGCTGGCATCTCTCAGACTTTCAGTCTCCAGAACCGTGAGAAATAAATTTTGGTTGTTTATAAGTCACAGAGTGTGCTACCTTGTTAAAGGATCCCCAACTGAGCAAGACACCTGATCATGAAAAACACAGTTCCAAGAGAGGGTAGCTTATTTTCCTGGAGATTTTAAAAGTGTTTGGAGGAAATGTGAGACCTTGTTAGACAAAAATAGAAGATGGAATGAAAACATATCCTGCAATTAAAAGCTCTGTTACCCTCCCCTGCTCCTGAGGAGCCAGACTTCCTGTGAAGCCCTGGGGCTGCATAGAGAAGGCCTATAGTGCCCAGGCCTGAGCTTCGAGGCCGAGCAGCCCAGGCAACAGGGCCTATAAGTTCTATCTGGTAACGGCACGCCAGAGACAAAAATCAAGTCTTCCTTTCAAATATTAACTAGAGTTTGCTTCAAACTCAAAATATCAGCAAGAATCATGAGAAATGTTCCAGTGTTAAAGTCAAATTCTTGCTTTCATATTAAATACATTTGAAATCAAATGAGAAAAAAAAAAAAAAAAGAAATGAATGAAAACTTACTCAGATGATAAAATTATGTAGAAAAACAAGGAAATGATGACCAGAGAAGTCAGGATGGGTGAAGTCCTGCAAGGGGACAGGGATGATCAGGCCGGTGGACCTGCTCACCTGGTGTATGAAGTTTTCCGGGAACTCCCTATTAAGCTTCTGCAAAACCAGGTGCCTACCACAGACTAACTCGGGGACGGCCCCAGGGCTCAACATGGAAATTAACAGCGACTGACAGCCTTCTGACAGCCTTCGTGGGTCTGGCAGCCTTCCCACAGCCCTGAATCATTCTGTGCTTGTCTGGCTCTCTCCTCACGCTGGCCAACCCCAGAGGAGGTCGGGTAAACAAGGGTAGCTGCTGTCACATCGACTCTAAAACCAGCGTTCACAGTGGCAACACATCTGAGTGCCAGTGACAGATATGTAATAATCGCTGCTAGACAAGGGGCAGCCTCTGTCTCCGTCCTGCTGGAAGGCCTCGAAGGCCTCGGGCCACAGTCTGCTCCCTGAGAAAGGCAAGGTACTGACTGAGCGGAGGCTCTGGAATGAGGGCGAGGCTGTGCTGTTTCCCCAACACCAGGAGCTCCCGCCAACCTTAGCCTTGTTAAAAAGATTCATATTTTAGTAGCCATAAGCTGTACTGAAAATGCCAGCTTGTTATTAAAAATCTTTTCTACTTTTAAGTATCTAAATTTTGAAACCACTGTAGATTCGTAGGAAGTTGTAAAGAGATGTACAGGGAGGCCCCCACAGGCACCCTGAAGTTTGCGCCTCGTCAACCGACAGCACGACTGCAAAACCAGGACAATGGCACTGGTGCAACCAGAGTTTAGACCCGAGTTACACCTGCACTCATTTGTGTGAGTGCCGCTCACTTCCGCACACCTCCAGGCACCATTGTCACCTGTTTTGTGTTATTCTAAGAGAACAGCAGATGTTGTCGATGCATAACAAAGAGGTTTACTTGGCTAATGACTCTGAGGAGTGGAAAGTCCAAATAGTAATGGTCCTGCTCAAGGATGAAGTGGGCATGTGTAGAGACAGATTCCCTGGTGAGAAGGAAGCTGGATCACTTTATAACAACTGATTTCCAGGGAACCGATCCAGTCCCATGAGGCATATGAGGCAGCACTGACACATTCATGAGAGCAGAGCCCCACGACCTCGCCACTTTCTACTAGCACCCCCTTTTAGATTCTACCACCTCAACCCCACGTTGGGGACCAGGTTTCCAGGTACAGCTTCCAGGAACCTTTGGGAACAAGCCACAGCAGTACAACTTTATCCCACGAACTGATACATTAAGCACCACTATAAAGTGCTGAACTGTGCCATCACGAGGGCCCCTGTGCATGCCACCCCTCCCCTGGCACTCCAACACCTGGCACCCCCAATGTGCTCTTCTCTTGCCTCTGTAACTGCTGGCTCGTGGATGCTCCAGGAAAAACTGTGCCAGGCATCCCTTCAATACCGGCTTTTCCTTGCTCATCACAACTCTCTGTATTTCTATTTTAAAAGAGACAGGTTCCACAGGCTTTTAGATACAGAAGAGTTTAGTGGATCCAGAAGTCCTGAAAATAAGCACTGGTGTTAAAGGATGAGTCATTTGGAAAAAGCTGATCGGAGGTCACCTGACTCACCCCCAGCACTGACATTGACGAGCTGCCTGGCTGAGCTCTGAAGAGCCCTAGTGGAGGCCTGATTCACTACTGGGAGGCAACACTTTCCAAGACTGTCTTCCTGGGGCGGCTACCACCCTTGCGCAGTAGCCTGGGTAGACTCCCAGAACTCACAGACGCCACTTGCCTTTGTGAGCACAAAGATCAAGCTCCTCTCGCCCATGACCCAAACACTGGTATCTTGGTGTAAAAATCACATTCAGACTACACACCTTACACTTCAAAAGTGGGGAAGGCCTCACAATCTGGAAGACTGCAAAACCAGGACAATGGCACTGGTGCAACCTACCCAGGCTGGGTGGGCCCTGGAACACCAGCTGGGCTCTGCCACTTCACCATGGCTTTCCCGAAGGCACAGATGGCTGCACTTGCATAGTGCCACTGCTCGTCTCTGCAGGGCCCCAGGCTGCCTGCCCAGGCCTCGCCCCTGTGACTCCTGCCACAGCAAGGGCCCCAACCCTGCTTACTTACTGAACCACACTCTGCCTCAGCCCATTTCGTAACTGGTTCTTGTTCATCGTAGGATTCCACTCCTGCTTGTCCAGATGTGTCGACACAAAATTATCCACTTTTTGCCTCAGGTTTTGGTAAGCTGGCTAAACCATGAGAAAGAGACAGTGTTAGATGTTACATGCGAGCTCTGGAACTCAGCCATTTACAACACTGCTTTTTCATAAAAATGTGTATTTTCAAGTCTAAATACCCTCCATTTGACTATGGCGATGGCCACGTCACAGGACAGTTGAAAATTAATGGCTGTCACGAGTGTTCACCTCATGGTGGGTGGGGCACAATGCCAGGTGCTGTGCTTACATGATCCCATTTACTTTTTCAAAAAAATGCAGCAGAGGGCCCATGAGCAGACTGCTGCCTCACCTGAGATGAGGCTTTTAGGCTTAGCAACAGTACACCTGTCAATGGCTAGAATGTGTCGAAGTCAAGGCTGGAACCAGGCGCTTCCAAATCCAGGGTGCTGGGGGTCCAGGCAAGGCCCCTCCACCAACAGCTGTCGGATTCAAGCATTGCCCCTCCCCTCAACCCGTCATTTCATCTGTACAACTGTTCCTGCCCCACCACCAAGAGCGTGTTCCAGCACCAAACTGGAAAGTCCCCTGCATAAAAGCAAAAGGCCACGGCCACCTCAGCTGACCAAAGTCGAAGCCTGTGGAAGCCTGTGGGGAGGCCACGTGTGGGCCATCAAAGAGCTGGAGGCACACCTACTGGTCACATGTTCCAGACACAGCTATGGTCAGGAGAACAAAACTACCCAACTGCACACTGAGCACAAGGAATGTGCATTCTGAGCCTGAGAGCTTGTGGGGCTGTCAGCTGCTGTCTCCAGAGCAGGCTGGTGGCGTGGACGGCTGCCGGACCCCACTCCTCACACCCTCACCGGCAGGCAGGGAATACTTCCTCGCCCCAGCGATGCTCACCTTGGCAATATGGAGCTCTGGCCAGGGGAGTGTTGGCACGAGGCCTTAACTATGATTTTGCTGTCTGACCTGGCTCTGCTCTGATGGCCCATTGGAAGGCACATAGCCTGCCCTAGAGCCAGGGGCCTCAAGAGCGCACACATGCAGCAGCCCAACCCCAACCTATAGCCTGGACCCAAGCCCAGACAACCCACAGCCATGCCACCCAGCTGACGTCTAACTGGATCAGGCGAACTCTGCTTGACCCTCAGCCCTAACAGCTGAGAACAAACACTTGGTAGAATCCAGACACTGTTTGTTATGCAGCGTGACTGGCAATTTTGCTAACAGCCAAGGAAATGAGACTGCCCAAGGAACCACTGGGCTTCAACTCCATGAGTGGACTCTTCCAAAGGCCAAGAGGGCAGGGGACTGTGGGGAGGAGCAAGCAGCTCCTTTTTCCAGGAGCCATCTTCTCTTCACAAGGGGAGCAGGGGCCAAGTGTCCTGGCCACACTAAGACAACGCAGGCACCCTCTGCCATCCTCAGAACCGCAGTCCTCTCCCCCCAGAGAAGCAGCTGTGTGTCATCAAGGGATCCTAATAACCAAAGGGATGATCTTACTCTGCAGGGAGAGTCAGACAGACAAAATAGGGAGAAAGACATGGTGCCAGGGAAGAACCTCCTCCTGGCAGTTCATTTAATCCTCCTTGGATCCCTTGAGACAACAGATAGCCCCTGCTGGGGGGAGTCACAATTAGATTTGTCAACTTGTAACCATGAATCCCTGTGTTATACCCTCTACCACTCAAAATAACTTGCCTGATTTGAGATAAAAGCTGTTCACTGAAAAGACAGTACAAGGACCAAGGACCATCGTCCTTAACCTTAACAAACCCTGATAATACAGACTGATCCCTTCAGTTCAAGAATTCAAAACACCTGCCAACATTCTACGTACTACCTCTCTCTCTAGAGAGAGGATACCACCTGTCTGCCCGTCTATTTAATCATATTTTGGAAGCTCTAAAAAGCATACTATAGACATCATTTGTTCACTTTCCTCTAAATATGCCAGCAGTCTGGTGGCCTAAGAATCTGCCTTCCTAACAAGTTCCCAGGTGAAGTTGCTGTTGCTAATCCAAGAATCACACTTTGCAAATCATGGGACTAAAGCACCAAATCTCAGATCAAATCCGCCCGAAAAAAACGTTATGATTAAGAGTGAAAACAACCTGGTAACTCCCACAACTGCAGCTAAGGAGATAAAAGTGGAGAAGGCTCCAATGGCCTTCCCAACACCCTTCTCAATTCTTTGTTGTTTATTTAAAATCCCAGGTTTTGTTGTTGTTGTTTTGGTACTAGACAGTGAACCCAGGGGCATTTTACCACTGAGCTACATCCCCAGACTTTATTTTTTGAGACAGGGTCTTATCAAGTTACTTAGGACTTCACTGTATTTGCTGAAGCTGGCCTTGAACTTACAATCCTCCTGCCTCAGCCTCCTGATTGCCTGGGATTACAAATGTGTACACCACCTCAACATGTGTCCTTTTTTTTTTTTTTTTTTGTAGATGGACAGAATGCCTTTATTTTATTTGTGTATTTTTTTAAAGTGGTGCTGAGGATTGAACCCAGTGCCTCACATATGCTAGGCAAGCCCTCTACCACTGAGGCCCTACATGCGTGCGTGTACTTTTAAGACATGAACAGAGAACTTGTGATAGGATGTTGAGAACACACAGTCTTGGGAAAGGCGGAAAGCTCTATAAATGTTTTTCTAATAAAGAAAATTATATACTTTGTTTCAAAGACAGCACTTGCACTTGGGTTCTTTATCCTGCAAGAGTGTAACAGTACACACCTTTGCCATACATAAACTAGCTGGTTCATGTGTGTTTTTTTCTATGCTGGCAGAAAGGTAGGTGCTGGGGTAGTAACCAATTCTCGTTTCACATAACTCAGCACATTACAAGCATAAATGCTCAGTGTCTAGACTAGATCTTCCCTTACCTGTGGGGCCCGATTTTAACCTCACAATCTTGCTATGAGGTAGGCAAGAGATCTCTAAGACAAACTCAAAAAATCACTACTCTGAGCAGCCCAGTCGGTAACAGCCTTCTAGCCGTACCTGCTTAATCTTGCTAGAATAATTTTGAAGAGAAAATAATCATCCCAGCAACCATTACCTGTCTGACACTTCAACACACGTTACTTCCTTAAACCCAAACAACTTGGCACCTAATTAAGTGTCACTTCCTTTTACTGGGCTTTTGGTGATTGGCAGATGACCTTACCAGCTAAAAGAGGCACCAAACCCCTTTTGACCGGTGACGGTCTACAAAGCTCGGGTGCTGCTGCTACAATGTATCTAATCTAACAGCTCCCAAGTCCGCACGACGCTGAGCGGAGGAACAGCAGGTACCGGCACGCGGGTGGCCGTGCGCTGCGGCCGCGGCGTTCGACCTCCACCCCGGCGGCCGGCGAGCCGAGCGCGGCTAAGGGCGCAGGGGCAGCCCCGCAAGGCCCGGCGTGGGCTCAGGCGGGTCGCACGCGCGCTCCCACCTTGGTGTCCACGTCCGCCAGGCAGTCCCGGCGGAAGCTGTCAAACAGGCCGCGGCTCTTGAGCTGCTCCACGATGAGCGCGATAAGCTGCGGGTCTCCCGGCGGCAGCGAGGCGGGGTTGCTGGGGCCGCCGCTCCCGCCCGCCCCGGCCGCCGCCGCCGCCCCTGCCGAGGCCGGGCCCGCGCCGCCGCCGCCCCCCACGCCCGCGCCGCCGCCGTCCGCCATGCCCGCGCCCTGCGCCCGAGTGCGGCTCCTGCTCTGGGTCTGGGGGCCTGCGTTGTGCACGGGAGGCGGAGAACCCCACGGAGGCAGCGGCGGTGGCGATGGAGGTGGGGACGGCGGCGGAGATGGCGGCGGTGGCGGTGGTGGCGGAGGCGGCGGCAGGTCGGGAGGCGGCGGCGGGGGCAGAAACCACCGGCTTGGCCCCCGGCGCGCTGCTGATGGCGTCACCGGTGACCATTGCATTGTGGGACAGCTGGTTTTCCCGCAGCCTTCTCCGGCTTTTTTTATAGGCAGAGGCCTGGCCGGTGGAAACTACAACTCCCGGCAGGCTTCGGCCCCGCTCGCGCTCACGGGGCAGCACGGGAGTTGTAGGCTCCGCCTGCCCGCTGCGCCACACCTGCTGGTCATAAGAATCCTCTCCTGGGCTTATGATTGTGATTCAGTATTTCTGGATAGGTGCCTAGGAATCTGTGCTTTTGACCTTAACTCCAGCGTCATCCTTGAACAATATAATGTGGGAAATAGTGGATTAGTGACATGTTACGATTCAAAAAATTGTGTCCCCTTCTGATTTTAATAGTAATGCATACCCATTTTATAAAATCGAAGAATAACAGAAAAATGTGAAAAGTAGAATAAAAGTCCCCTTAAGTCTCTCTTAATTCTTCAAAATATTAAATACTTTAAATATTGCTGGTAAGACACTAATATTGAGTATCTGGAATGTGCAGGCATGAAGCTGTATACTTTTAGTGAGAAACTGATGTGACTCTATTTTTGAGAAACCAGCTTCTACCTCAAGGCCTGTCCAGAGGGAGAGGGCATGACCTCTTGTCCTTGGAAAAACCCACAGAACTGCTCCTAGGCACATACCCACCCTGCTCAGTTGTTTAACTGGAGGGATCTGGGGTGCCACGTGTCCCTGACTCAATCAATCAGCATGAGACAGGGAAAATATCGAAATGCCAGGTGACCCTCCCAGTAGTTTCAGTGATTGATAATGAAGCCAGATTTAAAATTAGGTAGTCAGTGCAGTTAGGTAAATCGGGTCTAATATCAAGTGAAATCTAAAATGGAGGCCATGTTGAGAATAAATTTCCGGAAAAGCTGAGGAATGTTAATGAAGCCCAGGAAACCGCCCCAACAGATTTGAAAGCCACCACCCATCCCAAAGAAATGTTAATGAAACCCAGGAAACAGCCCCCAACAGATTTGGAGATAGCCCATCCCAAAGAAATGTTAATGAACAGCAAACTTGACTCGGAAGTGCCCAGATTACTTCTTTGGCCCACCTGTGTCCCAACCCTTCCCACCTACATTCCATCACCAAAAACTATAAAAAGGGGAACACATTTGCCCTTCAAGGGATTCCACCTCTTGGGTCCCCTTCTTCCTCCGGGAGAAGTCTTTTCTACTGTCCTTTAATAAACTTCTAATTTTCCACTCTGACCTTGCCTCCGAGTGCTTCTCTGGTGTTATTCTTCAACATTGGGGAAGCAAGGACTCGTCACCGGTCAACAGCGGTAACACTGGGAAGATGCAGAACAGACAGAGTTCCAGGGTGCTCCCCATACCAACATTTACCACTCAATCATTCAAATTACCCTCACAACGAATACCCTGGTGTTAGATTATTCTTCTCCTTTAACACCAGCTCAAACATCCTCAATGGTTAAATTAATGACAAACATTATCTCTTAATAGTCCACCATACTTGGGATTACCTAACAGCACTGATTACTCTCCTGTAGCCCAGGAGAAGCCCCGTTTGGGCGCCTTGACTCTGGGTTCATGCTCCGAGCCCCTGATCCGTCTGACCAGCCTCATCTGCATTTTGGCACTCCACATTTATTCTCTATCATCAGGAAAACTTTTCTTACTCCCAGACCCAATCTGATCTTGTTCCTGATATAGACTTTTACACTCTCATTATTGTAGTAATTATTGTAATTAAAAGTGAATAATTTTTAGGAGAGTTGGCCTGTTTCCTCTTTGGAGTGTATGCTTTAGAACAGGAACCACAACTTGTTCCCGGCTGTGTCTCCAGCCCTCAGCATAATCCCTAGCCCCAAGGGAACACACAAATTCCTGTTTCCTGTCACCGTGGAGCAGTGTCAGAGTGTGTGGATGGGGTCACTTATAGTCCATCTTCAGAAAGAAAGGAGTGTTACATACAGCAGGAGATGATGGATTAATCTGTCGCAACTTAATGGGTAAGTGATTCTGGTGACGGGCAGCATATAGTTCACATAGTGGCAATCTCACTGCCTGGGGCCCTTGAGTCTGCTGGAACTCTGAACCAGGAGAAGATATGACACCCATGACCTTGCCTGTAGAACTGAAATAAATGGGGGTGGGGTGGGAATGAGGAGGAAGGTGATTAAGACTAAGGGAGGAGGCTCGGTTATGTTCAAATTGTGCTCTCCAGTCAGGAGGCATGTAACACACAGCAGTGGTCAGCAGGGGGAGCCATTGCTTTGTTAATAGCCCAGAACGTGGCCTGGTACAGAATGTCCTTCTAACTTTAGCCTAGGGAGTCATCTCATCTTCTGACACCCGTAAGGTACCAAGATGTTGATTCTTAAAGTTAAAACTTGCCTGTAACAAGCTGCGGGAGCCCAGCAAATTACACATTTTAGGTGTTGGAGTGTTTTCTGTAAAATAATTTGTGAAAAGGTTGGGACCTTCATAAACCCAGACCTGGCAGAAACCAGACAGGAAAGGAGCTCTGAGGTTTGCCGAGCAGAGCAACTCACAGGATTTTCGCCTCAGCGGTGCTGATTTGTTGGGCTCTGTCTCTGTGTGGTGCTGTGTGTCTGGATAAGTTGCATCACCCCTCAGAACCCCGGAGTCCCGGGATGGTGGTGAGAGGAGGTGAGTCTGGGCAACCCTGCTGGTATGATTCCTGGATCTTTGCATGTTGCTGTTGTGAATCACATTGGATGAGGAATAATGGATTAGCCTCCATCTCCCCCGCCAGCCTCGAAGCTCACTGAGGGAGGGATGGCGCACTGTGCGCATCTCTAAGGTGAGGCCTTTTAAGACTTTGACATTGCCTAGGACCTAATGTCAGAATACAGTCAATGTTCAGAGGGGTCAGTGATCTGTTTGTGATATGTGGTTAAACCGGACGAGGAGGCTGAGGCTGGGAGCAAGCCCAAAGGTGAGAAGTCAGTCTGTGAGTTGCCTTGGTAACCTTCCCACCTTCTCCTGTACAATCCTGGTCCTTATCAAGTGCATCCCAGAGCCCTAAGTCTGATCCCAAGTCTAGATACCTAAGTCTAGATACCACACCCACCTGGTGCAGACTAGTTATTGGACTTTTTTGTTCATGGTGTGGCTCTTTTTGTTTTTGCCTCCATGTATTTATCCAAGGATCATGCCAATCACTGGGCCAGTTCTTAGACTGGACAGCTGTTCATCTCTTGACCCACAGCATCCCGGAGAGCTTGAGATGCCTGTCTGTAGCGAATTGGCCCCTCTGCACCTTCTCATCTTGGCTTCTCTCTTGTGTTTGTTCCTTTCTGACGTTTTCCTTCATCTCTAATGACAGGTTGGGTCCACGTACATAGTAAGGAGAGAGCCTTATCAAGCGGAAGTCCTTCGCACCCATCAGCACTGCCATCACCTCTGCCACCAAATCTCTGTGTCAGATAAGACTTCAGGCTGCGGCGTTTTAAACACATTGTCATTTCAGATTATTACTAAAGGATGTCTAGGGGAAGAGGCAACCTGATGTAACCCAGAGCAAGGAGGGAGAAGTTGGGAATCTGTTTGAATGGGGTCTAGTGCTCGGCTTATCAGCTGGGTAAGGAGCAGCCCACAGTGTTCTGGGCCTTGGCTTACTTATCTCTAACGTGGGGCTAATAATGCCTCTTTGCAGGATTGTCAAGAAAATTGGAGATAATATATATGCAAAACCTGGCACACTGTAGCCCTTCAGTAACTAATAACTAAAAAGATGTCCTTGATACACCCTCCTAACGTATTCAGTTGTAGTCTGTTATTGGACAGGAGTCTTTTAACATGAATCTAGAGTTAAGACTAATAATATTACTTGGATATGTTTAATCTCCTGCTGGTGCAAGGAGCCGTCACACAGTCCCTAGTGGGTGGACCTGTGGTGGCATGTGCATATCAAGCTCGGCTTGCTGGGAAGCTGTGGCCTGTCCCCTGTCTTGCCTTCACACTGCCCCACATCTCCCGAGGCCCCAGTTACTTCTAGTTGCCTACCCAGCATCCAGCACTCAGTTTTGCTGGGGCCCGCAGGCTGTCCTGTTAAAGTACCTTCCTCCGCGGCTGCAGGGAACGACTGTCGGCCCCAGTTCTGGGGAGGGGTACTGCTGGGGGTGTCTGGGAAGCTCCGCCTTGCTGATATAAGCACCCCTAGTTCTGCTGCAGCAGCCTCTTTCCTCCTGCCTGGAGGTCCACAGCCCCGAGCCAGCACCCTAGGTTAGCTGGGGCCACAGACCGTGTCTGGCTAATGAATCGAGAGCAGAGTGACTTGTGTCACATGTAGGCTGGGGTATTTTCATACCAATGTGAAATACCCCTCTCTCCAGAGCTCTCTTTTCCATCTACCATGGCAACTAGGAAAATTTGAGATAATGGTTGATATATTGTCTGGGGCCTCAAAATGAAGAGACATGCATCAGAAGTCCCAGCAGGGGCATGTATTAGGAATTATAAATATGCCATTGGTCATTCTCATGATGTAACATTGGAAGTTACTGAGATTTTGGAGTTCTTTGTTACTGCAGCATAAGCTAGCCTATCCTGACTGATAAGCCCTGACTGCTTATCTCCACTAAATCTGTCATTTATGGGATGACCAAACCTAAAAGCCAGAGTGAATGATTGAAAGCATGAATTATCAGATCTTTCTCTTGGGTTACATTTAGATAAGAGGGCCCCTATAGATAACAATAACACATTATATATTTCAGAAAGCTAGAAGAAAGGATTTTGAATGTCTTTGCGATTAAAAAAATGGCAAATGCTTGAGGAGATGGATGTGTTCACCCTGGTTTAAATATTCCTCAATGTATACATGGATCAAAACAGAACATACTGCCCCCATGATATGTATAATTTTCACATGAAAATTTTAAATTTAAAAATCCCTTCTCCTGAGAGCCCTCTTCTGGCGTCATTTGTAGGAATGACCATAAATCCACCTGGTTTCTCG